TTTCTTCACTACTTCCTGCCAATTTAGTGTATGCGCCCTCAGCAGTAACATGTACTTCATATGTGCATCAAAGTAGAGAACATCGCCATCATCTGCTCGTGCCTTTGGCGGGTCCCTGCGATCGAGTTTGAGGCGTTCGACGAAGCGGTGTTGGCTCTCCTGTTTGCCCTTCTCCCGTTTCTTGTGGTCCAATCCAAGCCGCGTTTCGCTTCCTCGTGTCGAAGTCTCTCGGTCTCGAGTATGACTTTGAACTTTGCCTCTGACCTAGAGAGATCGTCTTTTCGATGGCAGTCTCGCTCTTTTCTCTCTGTTTTCTTAGCTTTTCGCCTCTCTTCACGCTCCTCCCTCCATTGCCTCTCCTCTGACACAGCTTTGTTATCAGCTTGTCCGCAATGGGCCCCTCCATTACGTAAGTAGATTCTTTTACAAAAGTAGGTGCATCACCACACACTATTCGTGTGCTGAATTATCATCATTTTATTGGCTGATATATGGGGAGCCAGACCCATTTATTAGCCAATCAGTCGTTTACATGTATTTGAGCGGCCAGGGCTACCACCCTGGTCCTAAATAAAGTTCCTAGTTTTCCTGATAATTGTGAGCTTCCTCCTATCTACAGAGTAAGCTAGTAGCGGATAAATACCTGGCCCGTTACAATGACGACTATCAACTTGATCTGGAGAAGATTCTTCTGCTGTATCTTGAATCTCGTCGAGGATCCGGGTATTCTCGCTGTTATTTATTTCTTCAGCTTCAGGAGGGTCTGTCTCGTTGCCCAGTAGTGTTGTATTATCTTGTATATCTGTAGTGCCGCGGTTGGCCCCAACAGAATCCTCTGGACATTACGCAGGAACTAAGGAGCCGTCATGGATGGCCGTCTCCTCAACCTCATATACAGTACGTTTAAGAGCTCTCGATCAGTTTTCGTCGCAAACTCCACCGACGTGGAGCAACAGCTCCTCGTCATCCTCTCCTTCGTCGAGGCCGTCGTTATAATCGCTCGACCCCGCCTTCAGCTCTAAAGCGCGATGTATGTCTTGAGCTTTCGCAATAGTTTTCGTAGACTTTGCTATGTGATCATTGACTCCGCTTGGTTTGGGCTTGCCGACTTCAAAGTCGCACTTACTCATCCCTCTAGGGCGCCAAACATTGTAGCGAAGCACCACTTGGTCCCACATGTTGCACCCTCAAGGTTCAATGTCTTCTACGATGGAGCGAAGGAGCATTTGCTCTGCAATCGAGAAGTTTTCATACCCGCTTTTTTCCCCCTCGCTACTAAAAACCTAAATATGAGGGTACGATCAAGAAATTAAACCGGTATTTCAACCTGAAAACAACAAACGTACACGAGCCATGAGGTGTGGATTCTCTTGTCTGATGCTGGGCAGAAGAAGAAATGGATGAGGCTTGGATGCTTCCACCAACAGAGGAAACTAGCCGAAAAACGTATAGGCACCAGCACCTTCAACAACAAGAAAACCTCGCTCGAAGATTGCAATACACAACTAACATGCAACCTTGACACTCGTCAAAGACACTACCCAATCAGCTTAGTCGGTCATCGCGGCTGGAAGGTCTGGGATTTCACGGTGCTGGCAGCCCCACCACCCACACCTGCACAAAACCATAACGAGCCCCCGTAACTTTCCGTCTCCTGGGTAAATGTCTAGCACAGAATCGGCAAAATCACCGTCAGATTCTTCCCAGTTCACACTTCAAGGAATCTTGCGTCCGGATTGCGCGAGTGGTTAAGGAGACGCAACTTGCCTCCAGCGGGGAGAGCATCGATATCTGTGTACTTATATCCAGACGTCTTTGTCTTTAAACTGAAGACGATAACCTTCTTTGATTGGGCCGGCCTTTGTTGGGGCACAAAATAGCTGAAGGTGTCCGAAGTACTCCCCCCAATATCTCACCGGCTGGAATAGTGCCCGACACAACGAGGTCTCGCATACCAGTTCTTACGTCCCAGCGTATTTGTAGGTACGGACTCTCCTTCAAAGAGCTGCCACATGTGCCGACAAAGGAACCGTTCACCGCATTGCAGAATCTGCTCCATATAGCGCTCAAGCACGTTGAAGCGTTGCAGCGCTCCACGCGGCCACAACGTTCTCCACCTTGTCTCCCGGTTCGAGCCCTCGGAAAGGTGATCCCCGAATGATTGTACTCCGCAGTAAGTAACATGATGTCCGCCGGCCAAAACGATTGATGATATTCATCTCGGGATGGCCGGAGGGCAGTGTCCCAAACAACACTAAAAAAATCGGGCCAGCTTGGCACAGACGATGCTCTCCGCATTGGTGTAGTTGGGCTGCCGGACATCTTCTGCCCTTTCAAGGCTCTTCCTCCAGTGTCCGCTTGGGAGAAGTCAATTGATCTCTCGAGTTGCTCTCTAGCGCGTTTGGTACTAGCAATTATCTCGATACAATGCATGCAATTAGAGAACTGAACTGCAATAAACCTCACGTGCGTTCACATGCCACGCTTCATCTCACGAGGAGTCCGAGTCGGTCTGTAATCCAACTCAAATGTTTGACATGTATGTGTGTAGCCTTCGAAATGGACACTTATCACGCTACGACAAGGAATAACAAGCAGAACGGCATGTGCGAACTCTTATCTGTTTGAACGCCACGTATACTCTTCTCTAACCATGCTCTTCTTCATTCATTTTAATGTACCGGCAAACACTCCACCTCGTCTCTCAACCAAGAAGCGCAAGTGTAGACAAGATGTGAAATCTGATATCGACGGAGAAGCTGCCAGCAAGAGACGCCGATCGTCGACCTCACCCTCAGTTCTTCTTCTACCTGCGATACGTTCAGGCCGCCGCTTTACCATTCTTTGGTAGTGGAAGTGGCCACTACCCAAGTCATATCTCTGCCCCAGTTCGTGTTAGCTCCCGAAGTGGTGTCGGGCTCACGTTGTGACAGCGAATTCGCGTCTGGTGATTCTACGATCACCGAACCTTGGTCGCCGAGGTCGCCCAAGCCACCAACGGCAACCCCACCACCGCACTCGGGAACCCTGCCTTCTGCGTCGAAGAACCGAGCGTCCACCGCTTCACTTGGTCGCTTTGCGGTAGCAACAGCTCCGCAGTTGGTGCCTCTATCACCAGCATCCATCGTCTCTACTGCTGCGACTGCGCCGTGGACCCCACAACGGCCCGTCAAGCGAGTACACTTGCTCAGCCAGTTGGATTCCTGCTCGGTGCCCCCTGGTTCGCAAAGTGTCATGAGTCCGACGGATACGCACCGACGCGCTGGAACGCATCGTGACACCTTCGATTTGCGTAAGAAAATCGTGGGCGAGCTCGAGTACGAGCTCGCCTGGCTTTCTCTTGCTGGAGGACACTGTGGTAGTATCGAGCCGGAACCTTTGGCAACCAGAGCCATGGCCGGCTGACGTTGTTCGGTTGACATCGCAGTCAAACCCTAAGAATTGGACATCCCTCAAAGTCAGTTTGGGTCGTAACGGAGGTGCCGGATGCGTATGTGTGGCTCGCTACAACGTACAACGGTGTCTTAACGCACATAATGGCCGCTCTGTACCAAGTTGAATTGCACCTTTGGTGCTCAATGCGGCAATGCGCTTCGCTAAAACGGAGTGTTGAGGATCAGTCGGCATGCCGAGACTGGAATATGTGGTGTTACTGCGATTGTCGCTATTCCGGCTGGAGAGCTCATCGGTGAATACATCGGGGTGATCGACGTTTTTGGACGTGCCGGACCGCGCAATGACGGCTACCGCTTGCGTCTGAAGACGTAGACCACAAGCAGCAAGCATGTAGGCATCGATGCCGCAAGATCGAGCGGAAAAATGAGAATGATGAACCATTCTTGCAGGCCCATGGCCCAATTCACGAAGTGCAAGTTGGTGACAAACGGACGGGTGAAGCCATAACGATCTGAGACGTCTACCCTGGGGACGAAGTCACTGTTTCCTATGGCGACAAGTAAAGGTTCCTCTGTCGTTGTGGGTGACAGAATGGCTTTATCGTGACCTACAATATCTTCCCGACCTGTCGGTTGTCAGGTGCTCATGATGGTAGGCGCATACCAAGTGACGGATGTATGGATCTGATCTTCGCGCATTTTTGTTGGGTTTGTGGATGCATACTTCTGAGTTTTTTTTTTTTTGGATTTCTTACATAACTTAATACAATCGATCCGTTCTTCACACTAAGTTTTTTTAAACGAAATTCATTTTGTTCGCATTTCGATTTTTTCCTCGCTCCATTGCTGTCAATATGCCTAAGGTAAGGTCTCTAACTTACACAGGCTGCCAACATAACTAAAACTTTGTTGTGAATGGATGTTGCCATCCGCGGGGAAGACGCGTCGGGTATTCAAAATTACTCAATTTAATAACAACTGCTGCTGTGCTCAGTCCTAAGACGATCAAGCCAATAGGTAGTAACATGTGGGAGCACGCCGCTCGTATTATAACACCCAGCGCAAAGAAAATCGACATGACCGCGACCGAGACTCGCTAAAGCGCAAGTTTAAGAGCTTGAATAGCAAGAAAAACCCGTCAGGCATAAACTGCCAAATTCCACTAAAGTTTAATCCAGTGCTGCGACCGCAACATAAAAAAAATGGGCGGCTCATTGGAAGTCAAGGTGGTGAGGCCGAATGTGAGGATGACGCTAAGCTCCCTGAGGCAATGAAATCTGTCGTGGGGGGGGGGGGGGGGGGGGGGGGGGGGGGGGGGGGCAGTCTCCTCGAGAAACGGGTATATAGACAAGCCTTCACAACCAACAATTGAGTAGCAGCACATTCGTTCCTATTCAAACTCATTCCCCATTTCCAAGGTGGCTGCAAGAGCGTGGAGACTTTCAGGTCCGTCACCGACTACGCGTGCATTGTCTATCACTGGATTCGCTGGGTTTGTGGGGCAGAACACGACCTGGACCACAAGCTAGCACGAGAGATGTCCCGTTGGGCTTCCGTCTCGTCTCAGTCACTGAAAAAGTACATCGCGTCGGTAGAGCGGAAGGTTGAGAAGGCCATAGCTCATGAAATACAAACAGCATCGGCATCATTTTGACGGCTGGAGCACCAGCTCCACGTACTACGTTGGCATCTACGCGATCTACGTTATTGCCGACACGCCGCTGCTAGCGCCACTTTTTGAAGAGAACGCCTTCGGAGCTGACTTGCGCATCGCGTTCATCATGGAGACGCTTGCTGTTTCTGGCAAGCAGCCTGGCTGCGTACGCTTCATTATCGGTGACAATTGCATCACCATCCAGGCCATAGCCACGCGCATGGGGCTGCCTTTGGTTGGTTGCGCTAGCCATCGGATCAATTTGGCGATTCAACAGCATGTTGCTGAGCACGAGGCCCTTCTCTCGCAAGTGAACGAGCTGGCGTTTCAACTTCGGACCAAAAAAACGCAGCGACGCTGCTGAAGCACACGGAGCTACGACCTGCGAAGAGAAACGTCACCCGCTGGAGCTCTACTTTCAAGATGGCGAGGAGATTTCTTCAGATCAAGGATGCTGCCAAACCTGTAGAGACAGTAGAGGAGCTCGTGCCTCGTTCCCGTGATTGCAGGAAGCTCGAGAAGCTTCATCACGATCTGCAAGCGCTGGACAGCATTTGTGTAACGCTGCCGTCTAATAATACAACTCTTGCGGACGTCTGCACACTTTTTGATGGCGTGGTGAAGCGTTACCCCGAAATGGCCAACTACCTCGCGAAGGATGCAAATACTGTCCATTTGCCAACCTTTTCAGGCTGCAGCCGTCAAGGTAGCACTATTTCTATCAACTTTTGGCTTTTTTACTCTCCCCACCTCTATACCACTGTAGGTAAAGCGAGGCGAGGGCACTCTGTCGCGCGCGCAGGCTGCTTCCATCGCCTCATTTCAGGTTGGCGACCGCGACAGCGTCAGCACCGAGCACGCGTCCGCCAGCTCCGTCTGCTTCGCTACATCGCTGCTGCATGCTGGCAGCAAGCGGAGCCATGGCACCGCCGATGCAGCATCGTTCGAGCCCCTGCTACTTGACGTCCCTCCGACGAGCAACGACTGCGCGCGGCTCTTCTTCAGCGGAGCTGTATGTTGCCCATCAACTACGAGATGATAATGGTTTTGAAGGAAAACGCTTCATACTGGAGGCGCCTGACGGTTGCCGAGGTGCAGCAGAGCTCGCCGGGCCTGGACGCGGTCTAGAGCTACTAGGTACAACAATGGTAAGCATCAACAATGCTTTGTTATTGCTCAATACTTCCTCTGTGCTGAAAAATTATCAGCAGTTGAAAATGAATGTCGACTGGTTGAAGAGTAATTGCTGGCAAGACCATTGTTAGATCGCGAAGGTAATAAACTTTATTAAAATGTCTCTAACCTTAGCTTGGAAACAGCGCTGGAGTACACTTCGCTAGAACACACAACACATTGCACCAGAGTGCCATTGCGGCGCTGTTTAGCCTTTCCCATATGAGGAAGTTTGTATTCATTGCCTCCATCACAGGCAAGTACACACACCATGACTTGTTGCAAGGTCAGAAAAATATTGTCCAACGTGGCATTGTCTAGAATACGAAATGATTTCTGCACGACCTCAATTAGCTCTAGCGTACTCGCAACATACGTTTGGTACTGTAGACTCTGGATAGCCGAGAAGTACCCTAAACCAACACATTGAAATCGGGCGAGTTAGCAGGCTGAAAAATAAGACGGATGTCCCAGCCCTTTTGTTGTCCTTCTCGAACTACATCCTCGTCGTCAGGTAGTATGTGAGGGGAGGCATTATCTTGTTGCATGTAAATAATCTTCCCCCTGTCACCTCTTGGCCACTTTTCCCGGTTTGCTGAAAACACACAGGTTAACAGTAAATGCTTATACACTGCCGTATCAACGGACTCGATGTTACGCTGTAAGATGGTGCCTTTTGGGCGGTATTGGCTGCTACGCTGGGCGACGTACTCCTCAGCAAACGGCCATAATCCCAGCTTCCCATTAAAGTTCGTTTTTCTATGTGGGTCCCATCTGCAAAGCATACAAAAAATTATTAACGTTGACAAATGTATCAAAACTGACAGGTATTACCTTAGTCGAGCAACCGCGGCCAAAAACATGGTCTTTTCGATATGGCAGGCGCTGTGACGGTGTCTCTCGGGTGGATCCTCGCCGGAAAGAAGATAGTACCGCCGTGGATTCTTGTCGTGGTTAAACCACTTCTCGTCCACGTGGACAATGTTGAGCATGGGGTCAAATCGATGGCCAATTTTGTCCCTGTGGACGTCAGGCTTGTCGTCCAGGAAGGACATGGCGTACTGCATCCGACGTTGGCGGTGCGTGGTCTTGAGGATTGGCTTAATTGTGGTGGTCTTGGCGACTAAGGCGTGGCTCGCAAGCAGGCGCTGAATGACACCCAAGGAGACGCCTACACAGGCTGCAGTAGAGCGAATAGTGGAGCGGCGTTCGGCAGGTACGGCCGCGCTTTTAGCCTCAAGCTCCTGCCTGTTGTACCCCTTTCGACCCGATCTGCCCTTGTATCTGCACGAGATATCCCCAGCAATATTGCCTGCAGCTACCGACTCCTTGTATCTGCTCCAAATAGCCGCCACAGTGTCCCTGTGTACGTCGACGTGCTTCGCTACGGAGGTCTTCAAGCCATACGGGAGAACTCCGTCAATACTGCGCTTTAGGAGCTCGTGTAAGATTGCATAGCGCGTTGTTTCATTCACCTTGCGTTTCCCCATTCTTGGAACGCCGTAGGCGCTGACTTGAAAGTGTGGCGGGTGTTTTGGCGTGGCACTGCTTTTTGGGGAGGCTTTAAATGGCTGTCGTGACCGCAATTTGGGTAGTTAGGACGCAAAATGCATATCCTCCAATAGCACAGACAGCAGCGGTTAATATACACTCTGATTCGTAGAAATTGAGTAAGTATTGTGTGTGTAACGGCGGGTCAAAGTCAACTGCTGATAAGTTTTCAGCACAGAGGAAGTACATTATTATTGTGAATGCTCCAAACCACTTCGTTATCATTCTTTTTGGTGCTATCCCCTACATTTACAATACGTATTTTCCCGGCTTGCTACGTACCCCCCCCCCCCCCCCACCGACTACCAACTACCTCTAATAGACTTAGAGGAGGAGCCATGCGTATTCTGTTGGACAACCATGAGCCAAGGGGTGGTAGCTCCGTAGCATCGAACGGGGAACGATCGCTGGGGGAAAGCAGTGGTTCCACTCTGACATACGTTAGTTCGAAGCGCACCCAAGCTATGAAACGAATGGCCCAAATGAATGAAGCGGATAAAAATATGGACGCTGTACAAAAGGACGGATCGACGGAATTACGCAACTTCTTTTATACTGTAAAGAAGACGCAGACCGACGAGCCGAGAGCGATAAGAAAATACGAAGAGAGGAGAGATACGAGCAAGAGGTAGCGGAGAAAAGCGAAAGAGAAGAACACGATCGGCTTCAAAAGAACGAAGCTGCAGAAGCAAAAAAAAAAAGAAACGCTGGCAACGACAACGAGAAGACGAAAGTAAATGGCGTGAAGAAGAAGCAAAGAAAAAAATGGTAGAGTCGAGCGAGAATTGATCCGCGCTGAGGAATGGAAATGCCACGAAGAGCGAATGGAGCTTGAACGTGCCAAGGATCGTCAACGACACGAGCAGACGCTCATGCTCTTGTCATCGCTTGCAGGCAACAAGCAGTATGATCATCCGTTTATTTTAAACAGAGAATAAACATAACAAAAAAAAACTTCATAATGGAAATGACGCTGTTGTGATATTTAAAAACACTTAGTCACTACTTATGCATCGTCTGAATTGTACATGTGTGCCGTTCTAATTTGACTAATCCCTACTGTTTGAACCTGAAAGGTAGCAAGTTTGACAGGTTGTCGGGTCTATGGTGCTGCTTCCCCATATTGAAAGGCAGGGGATGGAGCAACCGTTGATAGACCTTCTCGATTGACCCCATCCCCCATTTAGCCGACCGATCGATGAAAGTGATGGCCCCCGATAGCGCGTTTGCTACAGGTCGCACTGCTGGAACATCTCTGTCCTTTAAAGGTGTCAAAATCCGACCAGCCATCTTGGTGGTAGTCTGCGAACGCGGCACGGACAAGAACACGATAAACAAAACAAGTCTTCCAAGGTAGCGCATGGTAGGAAGTTATCGGTTGTATTGTTATTAAAATCATTTCTATTAACGTGCAGGGATGCCTTTAAGCGCTTATTAGATTGCTTTAACCCTTTCGTGGTCAATGGGGGCATTTTGCCCCCCCCCCCCTCCACACACACACACACTTTTTTGTGTGTGGACGAGGCAGAATCGCCCTTTCTACTTGAATTACAAGGATTTGCAGAAGATTTGCTGCAGTACCGTAGTTTATGAAAGGGGGCAAAATGGCCCCTTTGACGGCCTAATGACTTGGCCTTCTATAGTAAAATGTGGCCAGGTCAAAAGTGTCCTTTCACGAAAGGGTTAAAATATTCTATCGTATTCCAACGTATAGAGCAACCGGAGGCGACCACCCAAACTCCAGCACCACCATCCGGTGCTGGGGTTGCTCATGGGCTTTTCGTGGGTTGCATGACTAGATCCGATCTGTGCTCACAGTTTGGGATTCCTCCTTAGCCGGGTAATAGAGCATGCTGAAGAGGGCTTTTCTCCAGCGCGGATTTTGTGGCCTACCCCAGTCAGGCAACGGACATTGGCTAGGTTGGTCGAGGCTCGGCAACCTCTGCTAATGTTTACTTGGGGGTTCTTGGACGGCAAAAAACTACAGGGTAGGTTATTTGCTTTATAATAATAATTAAATTCAAACTTTTCATGTGTAGCTATATTTTTATCTGAAGGCTCGACAACTGGCAAACCAAGATCTTCAAAATGCGCACTACAGCAGCTGGTTACACAACGTGTTTGTGACTGGCACTCTATGTTTTGGTGCTGACGGGGTAATTGTGTGGGTCAAACCCAATTGCCGGGGCAGTTGGAATGACAGCGATACGAGCTTAGAACTAGACAGATGCTTCTTGACCCCAGGCTAAATCCTGATTCACGTTGTGGCGTGGTCGCGGACAGCGCATTTCCATGCGCTAAGGAGTCGAGCGGGTCCTTAAGGCAATAAAGCGTGACATCATGGCGCATGCGAATTAGGCACTGTCATTCAATGCGACACTTCTCCTCTCTCACTCGCCTCTTGAGATCTTGTACAGCCATTTGCAGCTTGCGGTGTGTCAGGTACTCCGAGCTAAGTGCTATAAGCAAGCAATAGCAACTAACCATCGCCGCTTCTCTTTTAACAGTTTTCGTTGTCCTAGTGAATGTATTCCTATCCACAGTGAATACAAAACGTAGCATATTGCCAACTTCAATGTCGGTATCGTCGGGACAGACTAAATTTTTAGCTGTAGTTTGGATAGAGGTATTTATAGTATATCTGGTAAAAAAAATTTTTCCCGTTGTTAAGGGGGGTTTAAGGGGTTCCTTAAACGTTTGGGTTTCACCGTTTTTATGTAGGTTTGTAAGGCACCCAATGAAAGGCACCAATGGACGTCTTCCGAAACCCAATTAAAACGGCTCAATTACACTTTTGTATAATCACCCTTTTATCTTTGTTAGGTATTTTATCACGCCTATCGCGGCGGCACTGCGAAACTACATCCAAAACCCCACATTAAACCTTTGAAGCCGTTCGCTATACTAATGGCCCCAATCTGAAGAGTAAGCTCTGTTATCATAAGGGTAGTAAGCTTGTGGAAATACAATTAGGACATCAAGAGCGCTAAGTACGACTCTGTGGTCGTCGATTGGCAACTTCAAGCGGTGGATATTCAATGTTGACTCGACATTCGAGCTAACTTCACCACGGTTCCGCTTGGCACACCATGGTGCGTTCTGAAGAAGCTCAGTGCCTCTTAGGGTTGACAGGAATGCGTAAGATTATCTCCAAATAGCTTTATGCGGAAGCGCTCTAGACATCGCAGAATAGCGAATCTTCAAGATCTGCATCGCCAATTCTACGAGGGGATCATGAAAGCGGAGCATGTTAGCTTAGTGCGTATGAGTCATTGTGCAACTGCAAAAGTTCTGGCAGATCCCGAGATGACAACTTCGATGTACGTCTGGCTAGGCGGTTCCGACGTCGACTTCCTTGCAGTGACAAGTACATTAAGGAGAGCTGCTGTAAGCAGCATTTAAAGTCTGTACTATTATTTACTCATTTATGTTTTATTTTTGAAACTAGGGCGTCTTTCACGCGCCTCCCGGGTTGCTTTGCCAGTTCTATGACATACAATCCCCAAGGACAGTCGACTTCGCAAGCTGCAGTACCATCATCAGGCCCTGGGCATGCTGGTGGCTTACTATGACAGCTGTATGGGTCAGACATCTTTGCGTATGCTCTTCGGTGTTCCCCACCGACGTTGTGCCGTGCATTAAATGAGGCAGAGGAAGCTATGTTGCGAGCGCTGGAGTGATTCCCTTCTGTGTGAATAGTTTTGCCGGGGCCAGACCGACCGAAAACGCTAGCTAAGATTGTTGCTGAGCGAGGCCCTTTGCTGCAGCTCACATGGGTTTTCTCGGCGGTAAAATTACAAGGTATTGCTTTTTTTACATTAGTTCTATTTGTTTAGTTTTATTTTAACTATTTTATTATTCGATTTCAATGATCTATCTTTTCCAGGTGCAACAACCTCCTCACCCAGATCGCCAAAATGTACGTCGCACATCTCACCGTCGACCACCAGCCCGCATATTTGTGGTCCCGTGCCACAACGGTAATGGACTCGAACTCCACTGCAGCGCTGTCGAACAC